ACACACACACACACACACACACACACACACACAAACACTCCACAGACATTGTTTGTTTGTATGTTATCAGTAAATGTATAAGCTCTCTCACAGAAATACGTACAGTTTTATTATTTCACGCTTTTCAGGATCAATTACCAAAGATTTCTGCTTCCTTGACTTTTCTCAAATATGGTGATTCATTTTTGTTCTGGCTAATTGAAATTCCTTTCAACTAAATAAGCTTTATTTGATATTAATTTGTAATATTTTCAGAGGATGGTGCTATGTGAAGGGTTTTCCATCTTATGTTTTCATCTCTTAATTCTGGCTGACAGAGAGCTATTCATGTACAGTGACACAGCTTACAAGGCTGTGTTAATTCTCTGGGTGGATTTTCACCGAAAAGAAAAACTTGCCTTTGTTCAGTTTCAGTCTGTCATGTTTCCACGCACATGCCCTGTTTCTCCTCTCATGATAAACAGCTTATTGCAATTTTACATGACCGTAAAATGCATCACCTGATCTTCTTCTGCAAATGCCTGTTAATGCGAACGTTCAGCTTAATCTGCACTTGTAACGCTCTGTAGCTTCAAACAACACAACGTGTGTATGTTTCAGGAAATGCAAAGGAAAAATGTGGGCTTCTCAGTGGAAAACATAAAGGTTTATGTTGGGAAAAAGAAAGAAATAATCCAACAACTGAAAGACTGCTTTATGGCAAGAAATAAAACATGAACACAAGGCTGTGTTGTTTCTGTTGATGCCTGTTTTCTGCATACAGTATTTGCATTACACATATTCACCACTTTAGTTGAAACAGAACAATGGACATTAAATGTATAGATGTTCACATGAATGCCACACTGACATGGGTTACTATCCTGAGCTTCTTTGCAGTTAAAAACTGGAGACTCAAATCCAAATTCGGTTATTTTGATTCACCTTCCCATTTGTTCTATGATATAACCTTTCTGGCTCTTGCCAGAATTTCAAGGCCACATTCAAACATGTCGGAATACGAGAACGGATCCAAGGCGACAGTCATTGGCAATCTGCCCTGGCTCTAGCACTCAGGGTTTGTTTGTTTATTTACCTCACATGAATATTACAGGCCAGTGATCGTAGTCTAAATGAATAAAAAGATGTAAACACTGCATCTGGGCAAAGTCCTACAACCATGCTGCCTTAATCCCTCCACATCTATACCTCCATCCCTGCTCCTCTCATTCATCTCCTCACTTCTATAGCTGTGTTTCAGTCCTGGTAAACTTTCACCAGCAGCCACATGAGCAGCACAGTGATTAAGACGATCATGAAGTTTAGGAACAGCTCCTGCACCGAGCGGTCCATGGTCGCGGGACAGGCAGAGTGGGCTGGAGAGAAGGACGAGGAGCAGAGGTATCTGCCTCTGAGGAGAGGACGATGAGACGATCCTGATCCACGACCTGAGAAGAGGCAGAGGTGGAGAAAAATAACACAATATTTTAGAAGAGGAGATTCTAAAGAAATACAGGAATGGGCATACAAGTTTACAATGAGGCAATAAAATGTTTGAATATGTGTTTAAGTTTGTGTGTTTGTGTGTGTGTATGTGTGTGTGTGTGTGTGTGTGTGTGTTGGTGGCACATGTCCTGTTTGTTTGTGCATGTATGTCGCCTCTTATCATAGATTAGAGGGATCAGTCTCTGCTCAGTTTGGTTAGTACATCTGTTCACAGTTACCATCACTCAACAGGGAGCATGGCCAATATTTTGTATCTCCTTGCATACAAACATAATGCACATTACATGATGCACACACACACACACACACACACACACACACACACACACACACACACACACACACACACACACACACACACATTGGTTTGTTTTCCATGCCTTAGTTGTCAGTTGCAGATGTTTGCATTGATCTTACATCATTCCACAAAGTGAAAACACACAGTGGATCTGCTCAGTGAGCTGTTACCTTTCCTCTGTTGTCTCTCACTATGAACGGGAACAGGAGAAAGCAGATGTTTCTGGCTGATCCTTTCTTGGTCTTGATCTGTGACACAGCAGCTCGTCTTCTCTCTGGAAACCTCTCTGTTGTGCAGCTTCTTCTCTGAACATCTACTGGCAGCTGATCCTGCTCTTGTCCAGTGCTCTACAGTTGCCAGGGGCAGGGCCCGCTCCTAAAGTAGCCATCCTCAGGGGACCGCCCATGGTTCACATGCACACAGACTGATGTCACACACCAACTAAATGACCAATAGAGTGTGTTATTTTCCACAATGCCGTCCACTGGAGTGTTTCCCAACTAAAACCATACAGAGTCGTGCACACACACACACACACACACACACACACACACAGACAAACACACACACACACACTGTGTCTCCATGATTTCTGAGGACATTACATTAACTTACACTGATATCCTGGAGAGATACTCAAACCTGAACCATTGTTACTATTTTCCTAACCCTTACTGTTATGCTAACTTTAACCAAAACCAAAACCAAAACCTTAACTTAACCTTAAAACATGTCTGCACCTTCAAATTTAATGATTTACATCATGGAGATTTGCTTTTTGACCCCACAAGGACGACAGCTCCTCATAATGTGACTGCAACAGGTCCCCCACAACATGACACATGAGTAATACCTGGCACACACACACACACACACACACACACACACACACACAC